GCGTGCTCCAAGCTTCAGTTCGCAAACTAATGAGAACATCTGTCAAGGCTTTAATAAACAAGAATTCCACATGACCACGACTGCTCTGTAGAGTAGCCGACTATGATGATGATTATAAATTTGAAAACTTTTTCTTTATTGTCCTTGTAGGCAAATGAGCTTAGAGGTCGCGTGATGGTCAGTGGTTTCAGTGGTACATGGACGTGATCAACGCCAATGCAATGGGCACGCCAAGGCACTATCTACCGCTAAGTACGTTGAAGTCGTCGTGGCCTAACAGATAAGACGTCCGGTGCATTCGTGTTGAGCGATGCACCGGTGTTCGAATCCCGCAGGCGGGTACCAATTTTTCTAATGAAATACGTACTCAACAAATGTTCACGATTGATTTCCACGGTGAAGGAATAACATCGTGTAATAAAAATCAAACCCGCAAAATTATAATTTGCGTAATTACTGGTGGTAGGACCTCTTGTGAGTCCGCACGGGTAGGTACCATCACCCTGCCTATTTCTGCCGTGAAGCAGTAATGCGTTTCGGTTTTAAGGGTGGGGCAGCCGTTGTAACTATAATTGAGACCTCAGAACTTATATCTCAAGGTGGGTGGCGCATTTACGTTGTAGATGTCTATGGGCTCCAGTAACCACTTAACATCAGGTGGGCTGTGAGCTCGTCCACTCAACTAAGTAATTTAAAAAAAAAAAAAAAAAAAAGTTCTCTACATTAATTTCACTTGAAAAAAAATATGTTATAGCGATCAGGAAACATCGGGAAGGGGAACATTCCAAAGACGAATGAACTCCCTCCTTTTTAATCTAGTGTAACTTGTCTTAGCTTAAACCCTAATTTGTTTCCTTAGATCGTATTGGAAACTGACTGCCGAATTTTGATCAAAAGCACTTTTTTTACTTTATTGGTGGTAGGACCTCTTGAGTCCGCACGGGTAGGTACCACCACCCTGCCTGTTTCTGCCGTGAAGCAGAAATGCGTTTCGGTTTGAAGGGTGGGGCACCGTTGTAACTATACTGAGACCTTAGAACTTATATCTCAAGGTGGGTGGCGCATTTATGTCGTAGATGTCTATGGGCTCCAGTAACCACTTAATACCAGGTGGGCTGTGAGCTCGTCCACCCATCTAAGCAATAAAGAAATAAAAAAAATAAACACCTTCAGCGACTAATTTGCACGTTTCTTTCTGACAGGGTTTAATCTCAAAGAATCGTGTAAGTCGAAAAGCATAATAAAATTATAATTATTCATCTGCTAAACGAAGATGAAAATTGAAGCTGTCAACGGAAAATTAAAGCAGTAATGTGTAAACTATTCGTGCCTTTTTATAATGTCTACAGAAACCACTACTGCAATGCATTGCAAACATTTCACTGGGAAGAAATATAAACGTTAAAATAATCCTGATTCTATCTCCCTGATAAATAAACGTTTGACTTGACTTTAAATTACGCGTATTTAAATTACAAATTTAACTGTATTTAAGATAGTGAGCTGCTAGTTGAAATAAATAGCACCATTAGGTGCTGTAGTCAAAGTCGTTTAATTCAAAGGCTGTGTAGTAAATCGCATAGTATTTATTCGGTATTTTCTGAGGCACTAATACGTGCAATATCTAGATACAGGTACGGTTACATCCTATTTAATATTTATATTCAAAAGATATCTATCTGAACGCTTTCAGCGTGTGGCATGAATTATTTTATAACTGCATTGAAGTTTTGATATAGACTGGAATTGAATACTCACTTGAAACGCCATTCGAGTCGATATTGAATACACTATAATATTAATAATTTTATATCTTATTAATAATTTTCAAATGTAACGGGACTCCAAATATTCAATATAACGTTCTATTTTAAATTATTTTAGCCGAACATTATGTTCTATAAAATATGGGTAATAAAATATTACAGCGAATATTAAATTATTTGTCCTTTTTTTAATAATATGTTCGATTCTGAGGTTTATTCACGGCTTAATGCTTTTGGAACCGAGACTTAAAGGTGGTCATAAAATACAGCAATGCAGCAAGCATGACACGGTAAATATAAAGTGAAGAATGCGTAAATAACGGTCTCACATTGTAAACGATTGCCGCCGCGTAACTAGCGGACGTATTAAGAAAAGACAAAATTACGAATACACGCGACCATAACTCTCGCAATTTACACCAAGAACACATAAAAACTAACAAGACGATATCGAATGCGATCTCGTTCGAGTCCGTGTGTGGTCCGATGTTAAAGAAAACAAGAAAACAGCGGAAAAGCCCTACGTGCTTTCATACATAATGCATTGGAATCCGCGAGCTGGAGGTGTGAAAATGAGCGAATTGAATCGATCTAAAAGATCATGATTTTTTTTTCAAACTTCAAACTTTTCAAAAAAAGCATTTTTTTTTTCTCTTAAAAAGTTTCAAAACATCGTCTTTTCGCATTAAGAGTGTACAATTTAAAAAAATAAATCAAAATTGAGTTAATATGCGGAATCATTTAGTATCATCAGTATTTTTCTCATAAATGCTGCCAAAAGAGTGTAGTTAGTTTTAGTTTTTTTTTTAAGCTACCTATTTTTGGCTAGTATTAACAAAATTAATACATCATTTTATCTTACTTTAAAATATAAATAATGTAACTGGTAAAAAATAAAAAAATATTTTTGCAAAGATGATTAATATAATATTAAAAATATCACATTAAAGCTTTAAAATACTCTCCTGTAAAATTAGTAAGTTTTGAAATTATAGTTTTAATGCGAGAAGACGACATCATCGCATCATTTATTCTCCAACAAATTCGAATTATTCGCATATTCTAAAGGTGTCTTACTTAATTTCAATTAAAAGTTACTAGTTCTATGAAAATTAGACTTAATAATTTCGTTAACGCTAAAAAGGGAATCAATGAAATATTGCTTCCAAATTATAGACTTTTTTTTTATTTTTTATTATTATTATTTTTTTACTAACAATCACGCCATATTAACTGGTCCCGTGATAAGTTCGTAAAGAACTTGTGTTACAGGTACCAGATAACGGATATAAATGTAAGATTTTTGTTATACACATACATATATTGAATATACATCCATAACACTGGAAAAGACATTTATATTTATCATACAAATATGTTCCCTTGGCGGGATTCGAACCCGCGACCCCCTTGTGTAGTGACCATGTCACTTACCACTACACCAGACGGCCGTTAAATTCTATGCAACCAGATAAAATTCCATCCATAACATTATTATAATTTTCTGCAATCCTTCGAATACGATTCCCACAAGTAATATGCGCCAACATATTATGCGTCCTCTAATCAATTCGACATAATATGGCAAAGTTAAATTTGCGTGAATAAACAATACGTATGCATTCCATTCATACACACGACTTATTTAGTTATTCGCGATACGATATTATGAGAATCTATGACATTCACCGATGTTCCTTTCGTGTTTGCATAAAGAATAAGACACAGTATGCGGAATGCATCCGTGTAGTATTCACATTCTGAGCCGTATGTAAAAACGAGAACTTACAACTAATATCGATCTATGCTATTTTGAAAATGTAAATATAAGATCCTTGCAATGAAATGTTGCGATACTAAATGTTTCTGAAGCCAAATCACCATTTTAAAATGTTTTTCTTGATTATTGTTTGTCCTACTTAGCACCCTTATCAAGGGTTTTTTTTATTGCTTATGTGGGTGGACGAGCTCAAAGCCAACCTGGTGTTAAGTGGTTACTGGAGCCCATGGACATCTACAACATAAATGCGCCACCCACCTTGAGATATAAGTTCTAAGGTCTTAAGTATAGTTACAACGGCTATCTCACCCTTCAAACAGAAACGCATTACTGCTTCACGGCAGAAATAGGCAAGGTAGTGGTAACTACCCGCGCGGACTCAGAAGAGACCCTACCAGGTTGCATCGATTTTGATTAAACTTACTGAATAAAATAAAAGTAGTGTATATTTTATATGGCTACGACAGAAGCCGGCGATATAACATTAAAACCACATTTTTCACAACCAAGTGCAACCAGTATATGTTGAGCCTCTGTTGTCTCGTTTAAGATCGTGAACACAGGCATGTTTAGTTATATTTGTTCTCTCAAAAAATACGTATTACTATTCGTCCTCTTAAAGCGAGTTTCGGAATACCTAATTCTCGGACATTCACGCAACAAAAGACTAGGTAGATCAATAAATAACACAGAGAAGCATCTATTGACCCGTTCCAAAATGATAAATCTAAAAGCGCTATTAAAATGCAATAAAGCCACGTCTAAACGACAAACGTACAGCCTTCACTATTTCGCAGGCTAGACATGCATCAAGCCTTTCAATAATTCATACAGTATAAATAAAGTGAGGTCTTTTATACGCCCCCCGTGTAGAAACATTTTTCACTCGACATCCCGAATGACAATAGGGACATAAATACGGACCTGTTGCAACGTACCTACACAAATAATTCATTGTGCTAAAATGAGATATTGCAATGGGAATCTGTTCAATTTGTTGTCATATCATCGGTGTGTTCCAGAAAAATCCACGTAACTTTAGGATCTGGTTATGTTACACATTAGTAAACTGAGAATCTATATCTATGCTAATATATAAATCTACAGTGGTTTTTACGGATGTTCCGTTATAACTACTGAACCATGCATCCGATTGACTTGAAACTTGGTATCCATGTAGAAAATACATGTACTTAATGGATAGGCTAATATTTATATGAGCGTTGGACTCCCTACACCAGTTGCAGGGGCGTTAATGATGAGAATCTTTGTGGGGGTGAGAAACAATAATGTTAATTTAAAATGGCCAGCAAAGCGGACAGGTACAGCTAGTATTTTTATAAGAGTTTGTAACTGCGTATTAGTAATTTTTTGTGTTCAAACGAAGGATCGCAGATATGTATTGATTTATGATTGTTAAATTTTGACAGTTAAGTGATATTGATGCAACTTACGATTGACGTGATTAATGTAGTAGGGCCCGATCTGAGGATCGTAGGCCTCCTCCCAGCCAAGCGGCAATTCATTGCCAATGCAGTCCGCGAACGTTTGTGGCTTTGTGTATCTGAAACAATGAGATTTATTCTATTAATTCTGAGAAATATTTGACACGGAACTGACTTTGCAAACTGTGCGGCATTACAGAAACGGACTGATTTATCTAGAAGTTGAAATGCGCCTTGTGTTCTACATGAGGACGCTCTAATAAAAGTCAGTAAAATATGTTACATAAGTTTAAAACTAGAGGATGACCGGTTTTTTTTTTATAACGCCATCTTGTTGTGTCTTTAAAGCGGTTAGTTGCCCTCAATTGAGAAAAATAGTATCATTATTCGCCAATAGATGTCGGGAAGAGTTGATTATTGAAAAGACGAATAAAACAACATTTTCTGAAAATAAATCGTAGCTAGATCGATTTATCGCCCCCGAAATCCCCTGTACTACTAAACTTTATGAAAATCGTTGGAGCCGTTTCCGAGATTCAGATTATATATATATATTAATATACAAGAATTGCTCGTTTAAAGGTATAAGATTAGAATTTCTACATTAAATCTACATAAAAAACTAATCTTTTATTTCTCCAGGGTTCCCACGAACGCACAGGGGCGAACCAATTAACTCGCACCGAAAACTATCATTAAATCAAAAACAAAAATGCGTACCCCTGTTATTACTACAGCTTTTCGACCGCGTAATGTCTGCTAGTTCGGTAATAGGTGATGGAGCTTCGAGTTACTGATACTCTTGTGTTTAAACTCGGGACATTATAACGATAATAATCATATTATGTAATAATTATTTTATGTACCTACTATTTATTTCTAATTCAGTGAAATCATAAACAATGGTTTTACATGAAAATTCTGCTACGGGCATTGATAGATGATTTTTTTTATTTCATTTTTTTTATTGCTTGGATAGTGGACGAGCTCACAGCCCACCTGGTGTTAAGTGGTTACTGGACCCCATAGACATCTACAACGTAAATGCGCCACCGAACTTGAGATATAAGTTCTAAGATCCCAGTATGATTACAACGGCTGCCCCACCCTTCAAATCGAAACGCATTACTGATCCTGAGTTTTTAGGTCTACTGCGGAGGCGCTCGGGCAGTTAGCAAATCCCACCCCTCCTGGCTAAGCCTTTGCTCGCCCACCTGTCCTGGTAAAACTGGAAAGGCCTCCGGGCCACCAATCATCTTTCACTCATAAAAAAAAGTCTTATTCTTTAGGCCATGACGACTTCAATTAGATTAGAAATGAGAAATCGCAACCCTAATGAACTATAATTGTTGTGGATAGAGCCGGAGCACGGATCGTCAAGACATTTTTTTTTTTTCGATAATATGCAAGTCGTGGCGGAATAATTAGTGGCGGCCGCTGGTACAGGAGCTCGATCGCGGCAGGGCGTGGTGCGGTGGCGCCAGCGACTTGCTCCACTTGACTCGTGCAAGTTACGATCATGATTCACAAGACTCGTCCAACAACAAGAAGCGAACTCTCGTTTCCGATAGTGACGAAACCGACCGGCGCGGCGGCGCGTCTCATACGCATCCCGTTTAACGGTTTTCGTGACTTTTAATAAAGCATTTATATGGTAGTCGGCTATTAAATAAAGATTCTTCGGTTAATTGCCGATTTTATGTCCAGTTTCGCGTACGCGAGTATTATTTTAGAGTTGACGTATTTTATGTGTACTTGCGTGATTCAGGGTTTCGTATTGTGAAGTTTTTACCACTATGTTTCGATTTTTATTTTCTCGTTCTCATAATTAGGTCAACCGTAATTTCATTAATTCAAAAATAATTTCATTTCAAGCCTTGCAGTGTATGAAAAAAATTAATTTAAACGTAATAAAGCATTTATATGGTAGTCGATTATTAAATAAGATTCTTCGGCAATTGTCGATTTTATGTCCAGTTTCGCATACGCGAGTATTTTTTTGAGTTGACGTATTTAGGTATACTTGCGTGATTCAGGGTTTCATATTATGAAGCAAGTTGTGAAGTTTCATTAATTCAATAATACATAATTTCAAGCCTTGGTGTGTATGAAAAAGTTAATTTAAACCTATTAAGGTTCAACTTTTCATTATTAATTTGTCAACTTATATTTTATACTGAATCAATTTAATTGAATAGTGGGTGGCGTCGTTGTAAAGGGCGAGCCCTGAATGGGAATTTGTGAATCCTTCCGCACGGCTACCGAATGCCGGGTAGATAGAGCGTCCATTTCAAAACACGGTCGCTCGTGAGGGGGATAGAGGGCGCGTGCTTGTGCGCATCCAATGCGGGAGCGGGACCGCGACACCCAAACCATAAGTGGAAAAGAGATAGCCCGTGAACACAATGTTGCTGTTGCATGCTCGATCGGCAAAACCTGTCCTGTCAGCGTGTTGTCAAGACGACTCGGGTTCTTGGAAACGGTGACCCGTGTCACGGAATTCCTAGCGCACACATACGACCCGACGCACACAAACTGCGTGCGCAACGTTATAATGCTGATTAAATATGAGGTTTTTTTTTCTGTTTGCGAATTCACTAAAGGGAAACCTGGTAACCTAAATACAAAATCAAGGTGACCTTTGATAACGTAGGTTTGTTAAACAAGTGCTTTTGTTACTGTGCTGATGCTGATGATAAAGAAATTGCTGCGAACACCTAGGACATTATTTAGGCTTTCATGGCTCAGCCTTGCCGACTTCTATACGCGACGGTGACCACTTAAGATAAGACGTGCCGTAATCTAGTTTGCCTTCGGCAGCTATAACAATTTGAAAGCGTTAAACGCATTAGGCAATAACTACATTCTGATTGAAATATCTGAATTGTAATCTAACCGTGACAATTAAATATATGCGTATGAGCTATGTATCTATATAGCATACAAAAATATCACGATCATATCAGTCAATTCCTTTACGTTATCAATTAAATCGTATTAGGAAAGTTTTATAAGGCAATGTTATTTGCGACACTGAAAGGTCGCATTCCATAGATATCATATTTTAGGCAAAGGATTTTTTATCTGATAACGAACGAGCACGGCGCTGCGTTGCGAAGTCTTTAATAACCTAAAACAAAGATTTTTTTTTAATATTGGCATCACGCTGTTTGCGTAAAACAAAGAATTGTATATATACCAAGCAGATAGTTAGAAAAATAACATAAAATCCCGCTACGACATTAAAAGCTGTTTGATTACTGGTGGTAGAACGGCGGGTAGGTACCACCACCCTGCCTATTTCTGCCGTGAAGCAGTAATGCGTTTCGGTTTGAAGGGTGGGGCAGCCGTTCTAACTATACTTGAGACCTTAGAACTTATATCTCAAGGTGGGTGGCGCAGTTACGTTGTAGATGTCTATGGGCTCCAGTAACCACTTAACACCAGGTGTTAGCTCGTCCAACCATATAAGCAACAAAAAAAAAAGATCATGTCAAATTGACAAATTAAAAGTGTTACAAATACATCTGAATACGAAATTACTGTTTACGACCTCTAACATTGTACATATTTTGTTACAAATACTCACTTCCTCAATTAAGACGGATATAAGGACATACTAAATCCGTCAAAATAATTCAGGTTGCATTGCTTGTCAAAGAAATGAAAGATCTACATAATATTTACAAACATTGAAAATAAAAACCTACAGAACCCGCCGACGCTAAGGCACCTTGCAATGAGTACAAGCTTTTGACACTAACTTCTTAAGACGTTTTTCTTATTTTAAAACGTTTCTGTTCATCGTCTTATCTCTATTGTCCTTTCATAACCTCATTTGTTATTTTATAACAAGCAAACAAAAGTTTTTATTATTGGACGGTCAAACGAAACCGCAGTTGTAAAATTTCACACTTAAGGATTTACTTGAAATTCGAAACAGCACTAAATGATGCAACAAAGTAGTTGTAAAAAAAAAACATGGTATCGATTAATGAAAAAACCTTAGCAGACGCATTAATACTATTTTTCTGGAAATTGTATTTTTCTCATCGACTTTAGTAGTTTTAAGAATTTAGACAAGGGATAGTATTATTACTAGTACCTAATGACGCTTGCCTATATTAACTCAAAATGTTATGATTAAAAAAGGTTTGATTGAAATGAGTCGTAGATCGAGTTAAAATCTTACTGTATTGCAATGCCATCTATTGATTCTCGTTAAAATTAAATTCCGATTGCGCTCAAACCGTGCGAGTGGATTACGTTACTTTCATGCGTCTCATTGTTCCCCAAACTTTATCAATAGTTGTAACTCTTCCATTTTCATTATATTTATGGAGTTCTTTTTTTATTTATTTGGTGAGTGGTTACCGTCGCCCTTAGATTTCAGCCAATGCCAGGGGCAGAGCCAAGCCGCTGCCTACCGTTAAAATTCAATGCATATACAGCGTTTCATAGGCTGGGTTTGTCAATTAGGTACTACTACATTATTATTACAAAAACAACTCAGTTATATCCTATCCTCAAATTTGTGATGCAGTTCGTAAGCACTCCTCGTTTTCATTCGAAAATGGCGCGTCAGAAGGCCAATGTACCGTCAGTCAGAATCCGCAAATAGCACGGAGAAGGTTGCTGCCCGGTTTGGAATATTTTGCTAAATGCCCCTGCAGAATTCACGCCTTGACTTAGATGCCCTTCATGTCTCTCGTTTCTTGAAGGTAATACGTTTAAATTTATGTACGCATTCCATAGATGCGGCTGAGAAACTGGACAGTGAGAACGTGTATAACTCGATAAGTGATCATGGCTTGTTAGCTCTGTCACTAATCCTTTGTCATACTTATATTAAAATATATACGTTAGCTAATTGGATTTTCATCTAAATGTTTGATCCAATAACATATAATATAAATTTTGTGACCAAATCCTGGATTACGACAAACATGGAGCACGTCTGGTCGGAGTCGGTGCCACGCTGTCTCACACATATCGGTCGACCGACAGACGGACACGCACACCTAACTAATGCTCTATAAATACCGCCAGGGAAATATTTTAATCCGGATGGCCCGTTTAATGTACATTCCATGGACTTCGGAACATTCTCGACTTTTTG